CCTCCCGACTTTCTATATCCTCTCACTTTTCGCGAAGGCAGCGTTCTCCAACCGGTGCTGAATCAGAAAACTGCAGTTTGTGTTATAGCTAATGCCTGTGGGAAGACCGCATATGCTACTTCGGGTGTGTTAGAAAGAGAATATGCGCATGCGGATCTCTATAGATGCAGACGGCGAATGTTCTCCACTTCAAGAGCAATTACAGCCGATCGATGTCAAACAGGCGCCGTTAGAGTGAGACAAAGTGACTGCGGACCCACCATTGTGTACCTGATTGCTCATTTCGGACCTGGGAAACCGTTGGAATACAATGAGATTGCCGTGAAACAATTAAGATCAAGCACGGACAGGCATTATGTAACTGGATTGTCGAGTGATAAGTTAGATAATCGAGTGAGAAAGCTTGGAGAGTGTCTAAACTATTTGTTTACACAGCTCAGTGATATGAACATTAATGAAATTTTATTCCCCGTTGAAGAAGAAGGAGGAAGTTGGAGTCAATCATATGTTGTTCCCATCCAAAATTTTGCAGCTCGCTGTATGCCTCTAAAAATTCCCGTTGTGTTATTAAATCACAAATCCCGTGTTCAGACAGAACCCGGCATCTGTTCTACCAAGGATGAAGAGAATGATGGCGAAGGCGGCGATGAAGATAGCGACGACGATGACGACGCTGGAATCGTTGGCAGGAAGAGATGTGCACCTGCAGATGCGGTGACGACGAAGCGTCAGAAGGCTGAAGACGATGGTCAATAATATATATATATATATTTTTTTATTCCCATTGTCTGTTATGTCATGTCTTGTTACATTTTTTTTTGTCATTAATAAAACTAAGTTGAATGAATTACCGCTTTTTTTTTAACATCTACACCTTTCTTATATAAATGAAAGATGTGCAAAGGAGCTGACAGTCTGTTCTCGACCGCCGTCATGGAGGCAGATAACCAATACGTATACATTACGAGCAATGCTTCGAAACATGTGTTTCCGCATAATACCTCGCACGCATTTGAAAATGTTATATCTCCGTTAATGTTAGATCCTTCTTTGGATTATGAGGTCGCGCTGATTAATTTTTTGCACCCTAAAAACTATTACAGCATCAGGGCAAATGATGCTGATTTTGCTATTCAATTTGTTTATACATGTGATAAAGAACCGCATGCGGTTGAAAAGAACATTTTTAAGTATGTTCCGAAATTTAACATGTTAGGACAGATGAAAGGCGAGAAAGCAATGCTTGCTTTGATAAATGATGATATATTTAACCAGATGGAGGAGATGCTTGGTAGGGATGCGGTTAAGAAATATATGCCAAATGGAAGGTTGTTTGTCTATGATTTGGACATTGATCGGTGTCGGCTAGAAACAACATATCGCACGGAGGGAGGGAGCACAGACGAGCGCTGCTCCCCCGATGTGGGAATTCGTTTTTCACGTCGCATGGGCCACATGCTGGGATTTGACGAAAGCAGGCTTTATCGTTATTATGTCCCATATCCAACGTCTGGTCAGGAAAAATGGAATTCGTACAATGATAATATAAGCACGAGGTCACCGAGAACAGACGGTGGTGTGGATTTCATTTATATATATTCGGATATTGTTGTTCCTTCTCGATTTGCCGGGCAGCAGGTTAATATTCTTGATGCTTTTGCTTGGCAGGGATTGAGTGCGAAGGGGAGTACACCTATAATCTATAAACAACTTTTAAACAAGAACGTACATTCTGTGGGCGTGCGAATTGCAGATCAGAACGGATATCCTTTAATTTTCGAGGAAGGTCATTCTGTTACGCTTATATTGCACATTAGACCTCGCTAGGTCGTGCATATATAAACGCAGAACGTTCGCTTTTTTGCTTATTCTACAACGGAACGTCGTTCTGTCCTGGTTGATTATAAGATAAAGAGAGAACAGTACTCATTATGTATGTTAGAACACCTTTCGTCCCTCCGACAGCGGACGAGTTTAGAACGATTTTTGAACGCCAAGATGTGTTGCTTAAACCCGCTCGAGGAGGGGCTTTAGGAGATATTGGCATATATAACACATATGATCATTATCGACGAGGAGCGGGATTGTTTTCCTTTCTGGGCAGTATAGGCAAGAGGTTAATTCCCTTTGTTTCTAAACTTGTTAAGCCCGCGCTCCTTGATTTTGGATCGGGTGTTATTGACGATCTGAGAGAGGGAAAGACCGGTCTAAAGTCTTCTATGAAAAGAAGAGGTGTGGAGGCCGTCAAACAGGTCGGAGCTAGAGCGATGAGAGGGGGAGGAAGGAGAGTGCACAGAAAAAGAGTTAAGAGATTAAAGATCCGACCGAGTTGTTCGAACTATAAAAATGATGTCTTTTCTCTGGCATAGCCAGTTATAATCCAACCTTGTTGCCGTGCGCAATAATACTGAACGAGAAAGACGACGATACCATAGAAAAAAACAAAACAATGAATCAGTATAAGACACCGCTCTCATCTTACGTTGCCGGGGTGAGCGATATGTTTCCCCGTGCAAATAGAATTCGCATGATAGAATCAGGGATAGAGGAACGTTCTGAAGTAGACGTATTGCCATTTAATGCCGGGATAAACGGGTCAATTACTGATAATTATGCTGAATTTAGGTGGCCGGAAGGTCAAAATTGTTACGTAGACCTGTCCAGAGTGGTGTTAGAAATTAAGGGAGGACTTAAAAAGGCGGATGGCACGTCGTTGGGTAATGGCGATCATGCGGAATTATGTAATTCTGCTATGCACTCTCTCATTAAGTCTGTATCTGTGTACTTTAACGGGCAACAGGTTGAACAAAATCCTTTATATAATTTTTCATCCTATGTGCGTTTAGTAACGGGTATGTCGCTGTCGCTGAAAGAAACTCTGGGGAGAAATATGCAATATTACGAGCCTTCTCTTATACCGCAAAACTTTGCAGACAGTTATTTCGAAGGTGCCGCCGACCACGAGAAAAATATTGGGAACGGTGTAAAAGCTCACGGATTTCATTTTATGGCTCCATTATTGATGGATGTGGCAACAATGGATATGTATCTTTTGGATAATGTATCAATGAGAATACGTCTCGAGTTTGCTGCCGACAAATTTGTTGTCAACACAACACCTGGAACTTCAGCACATAATCCGGTGGTGAACATTGATACCTGCAAGCTTCATCTTACTACGTTGAAACCTAGAGATTCTGCAAGAGAGGCACTCGGTAGATCTTTGCAACACAACCCTCTCAGTTATGTGTTTAATAAGACCCTCTACAAGACATATGTCATGGCAAGTCGGCAGACACAGCTTGCTATTGACATGCCGTGGGGCTCGACCATTCCTGAAAAATTGTTTTTGTTTATGGTCGACATGAGAGCTTACGCAGGGGACTATACAATGAATCCTCTACATTTCGGACATAATCATCTGAGCAAACTCTTTGTCACCGTTAATAACACCTCTGTGTACAATATAAGCACGAATTTCCCCTCGCAATGTTCAGACTTGTATTATCATTCGCTGAATGCACTGGGTCTAGAAAAGTCTCATTCGCTCGATCGAAATGGATTTGTAAACGGTAAAATGATTGCTGTTATGGATTTGCAGCCTGAAAAACTGCAGGATGCCATAGCCATTGAAAATTCTGGAAGTCTCAGGATAGGAGTTGAGTTGGCACAGCCTCATGATTCGAACATTGTTTTATTCCTTGTTGGAGATACACAGGGAGTGCTTTATATCGATAACGAACGCAGAGTGGTTACAGATATCAGAGCATAATGAACTGTTATGAGGTAAATGATATCTGTTCGCAGTTTCTTAGGAGCGGGTATGTTTTACGAGGGTGTTTTTTAGCAGATCGATTACCAGTAAGAAAGAAAAGAGATGGATATAATGAGTTTTTTGTGGTTAACATTCTTACATCTCGTCACAGACCGTCAATAATGGGGCATTACGTTTTAATTATTAATGGAAAATCTTGCATTGCATATTTTGATTCTTATGGAGTTCTACCTCACATCTATTCTCCGTGGTTGCAAGCATTTATCGACCAGTATTCCGAAAAGAGTTTTTTAAACATTGGTAGATCATTACAAAGCCTTGATAGTTTAACCTGCGGTGCGTATGTTATTTTTGTTATGTATAACATTAATTTATACGGAATGGAAAACATTGGGCAAATATTATGCAGATATTTTTCAGCAAATGACTTTAGATACAATGATAAGAAGGTTATACGGTTTTTATATAAACATTTTGAAATGCCTAGGTGCGAAAGATTATTTTGCGATCGAATGATAAGTAGGTCAGAATGTAGGAAATTATACTGTGGTGGTATGGGTTTGTAGGGTGAGGACGAGGGGGGGGGGGGGGGGGGGGGGGGGTTGTAGGCGCGTCTGATTGGTTGACACAAATGGAGGGGCCGGCGATCCTGGTGTATAAGTACCCGGTTTTCAAACCGGAGAAGATACAGTGCTTGGAAGAAGCATAAATCATCAACATGGCTGCTTATAACAACGAACTTTTGTGTTTCGGTAAGAAAATTTCCAAGTTTTTTTTTGTTGTGGTTTCTGTGTTTGTACCTCATATGGCTTTAACTGCTAATATTTTCGTGTTTGTATGATTTACAAAATGTGTTGATATACAAAACCTAAAAGCCTCTCTTTTCTGTATTTTCAGGTTCCAACCTTGGTAAGTTATGAACTCCATATCTGAACCGCAGTGTTATAATTAAAATATGCGGGAGTTGTACCTCATAAGTCTTTAACTGGTTAATATTACGATGGTGTTTGTAGAAATGTGTTGATATGAAACTTTATTCTAAGATACTTGTGTATGCAAAAATTTAAGACCTCTCTTTTTCTGTATTTCAGTTTCCAACCTTGGTAAGTATTTTTGTTATGAATTTTATATCTCTCAATGTTATAATTATAATATGCGTGTGTTGTGTCTTTTTATTGATATAAATGAATATATATCTTTGGTTATGTCGAATATATGAAGATGTGTAATTGTATTGATTTTATATTACAGCGAAGTCGGTGAATATGATCCCCAAGGTCTATTTTGTGTTTAACCACGACGAACGCAGTTGTGAAGCTGTTAAAAGTGAGTATATTGTTATTTTTAGTTAAAGACTTGTGTGTGTGTGTGTATGTGTGTGTGTGTGTGTGTGTGTGTGTGTGTGTGTGTGTGTGTGTGTGTGTGTGTGTGTGTGTGTGTGTGTGTGTGTTATTTGCAGTTGTGATTACTCTTTTGGAATCTGATTGATTATATATGTATTACAGATCTAGGAAATGATGGTGAGATGGCCGTTTATATAATAGGAGGAGGAACAGAGGTACAACCTTCCAAGAAAAGAAGGTTGCCAACAACAGCTAAACCTAACACAACTGTGGACATACGCTCCCCGAATCCGCGTGCAAGCGAAGAAGGGGAGACTACGACAACTGTGGACATACGCTCCCCGAATCGACGTGGAAGCGAAGAAGGGGAGACTACGATGTTATATGAGGATTTGGTGAAGCAAAACGAGGGAGGACCTTCGAACGAAAATCACCAATTGAATAACGCACATATGCTCAGTCCTCGATCGCCTGCGTATGATCCTGCGATGGCGGTCAAAGGGTTGAGCAGATCATCTGCCATAGTTCGTACGTCGACTCCGTTGGCTTCCCCAATTAATCTGCAGGAGGCTGCAGAGGAACCGGGGAGGTCCGCCGACGGTGAAGAGCAAGCGATTGCCCCAGTGGACAGCGGTTGTGCTATTATTACACCTGTTAAGCGCAATAGACGGAGAAGACTCAAACTCAATAAAAATCCGGGAATCTTGACTCAAAATATGCCTGAAGATAGTCAAATAGCAGCCGCAATTGATGTAGATTTCTGGATGTCTCCATAATAAAAAAAAAAAATGAATACCTGTTTTAGTTTTATGATCCTTTGATTGAGAGGAAAATGGGCTCTGAAAAACCTTTTTGTGTTTAACTGTTATAACACATAGTGTGTGTGTGTGTGTGTGTGTGTGTGTGTGTGTGTGTGTGTGTGTGTGTGTGTGTGTGTGTGTGTGTATGTGTGTGTGTGTGTGGGGGGGGGGGGGGGGGACTATTTAGTGGTTTTGGCATGAGTTGACACCCTGACAGATAGAGAGGCTGTCGCACGGGGGGCTCGGGAATTTGTATATGATTATCTGTAACTCCTGCAGGCGACAGATAGAGAGGCTGTCGCACGGGATTATGTTACAGGGAGGGGGGACGGGAATTTGTATATGATTATCTGTACCTCCTGCAGGCGTATGTCGGGAGAGAAAACGATGATTATTTAGTGTTTTTGGCATGAGTTAACACCCTGACAGATGGAGAGACTGTCGCACGGGATTATGTTACAGTGGGGGGGAAGTCTCCTTCTCCTCCTCCTTCCTCCTCTTCCAGATAGACATCCCTCAAAAAAATTTTTGTTTTGAACTGTTATAACATGTTTAGGGGTTATACCTGACCGCATAAGTAGGTCACATAAGTACGTTACACGACCGGAAGAGGGGGGGGGGGGGTTTCCTGTACGTTACATGACCGGAAGTCCGGGGGGGGGGGGGGGGGGGGGGTTCTAACCGTTTTTTTAGGTGGTCAGCCTGTCCTAGTTTTATTTGGGTGGTCAGTTTGTCCTAGTCGCATCTACTGAGTCCAGTTCTCTAACCACTGAGTTATATATATATATATACATATATATATACGTATATATATATATATGCGTGAGTGTGTGTGTGCGTGTGTGTGTGTGTGTGTGTGTGTTTGTGTGTGTGTGTATAAATATATAAAGTCGACATCGACTGATGTATGCATATATATATATACATATACTAATAATGATATAATAATAATAATAATAATAATAATAAAAGGTTTATTATCCAAGAAAGTTTTACAATATAAAAGGTAAAAACATTATGTCTTGGTTTACATTATGTTACATAGGGACAAAATTTATTGATAACATATTTTTAAAAATAAATGAATAAACACATCATATATAGTATATACATATACATACATATACACACATCCATACGCATATACTTTTATATACATATGCACGCACATGCACATATGCATACACATACATAGACATATGTACATATACACACATATGCACACACAAGCATACACATACATACATGCATATACATACACATGAGATAGACATAAACACATATATATTTATAAATTTATAAAGGGGGTAAAAACATTAGAATAAAAAGTAGTAAAATAAAGTTAGGAATGGTGGGTTGGTGGGTCATTCACAGATTGGTTTATTTGGCCTACAATATATGGAATGGTTGATTTTTTATATATATATTACATATAACTGATTGCAATACGCGCCTGCCCATCCTAGTTTCCCTACCATGGATCTCGTGCAGGTACTGTGGGAGGAGGTGTCTGAATTCATTTGACTCTAGGAGGGATTTACCAAAACGGAGTGTAAGGTCCTCTCGTCTCTGGTATAGGGAG